GGCTCGATCCAATTGTTGGTTCAGAGAGGATCTGTAGTAATAATTATTATTCAGGGCTCTACTGGTAGCAGGAGCTGCTTTGCATATTAGGCCACACACCCCTAGTGTAGCCAATCCTCCAAGAGCTTACAGAGCTCTTCTTACTGGGGCTACTGTAAGCTCTTGGAGGATTGGCTACACTAGGGGTGTGTGGCCTAATATGCAAAGGAGCTCCTGCTACCAGTAGAGCCCTGATTATCATATGGCCTTGTGCGTAGTATAGCCAGGAGATCCTAAGACTGTCTGGAAGGCGGAAGTTCTAGCTTTTTTAGCATCATGCACCACTAGGTGGAGAGCTAGACTTGTTTTCAAGGCAAGAGACGTTTCAGAGGTGGTTTGCCATTGCCTGCCCCTGCGTCACACCCCTGGTATTCCTTGGAGGTCGCCCTTCCGAATATTAGCCAAGGCCATAAGCTGCTGGTGGCTCGACGGCACTCTCCTAACAAGCTTCCCTGATGGGGAGAAACAGAAGCTCCTTGGGAATACTTGGCGATTGCGTGCGTGAGAACGGGGGGTTGTTTCCCCCCCGTTCTCAGTGGCCTCGAGCATATGAATTTTCTCCTTGAAATAAAAAGAACCAACCGACATGGCTCATAGCATATAGGGGCCATCCACAACACACACTAGGATGGCACTATCTTATCCTTTAGCCTTGAATTCCTGCACACCTGGCAAAAAGATCGGCCAATGCTGTGACTGCAGCTGGCAAGCGTTCGCCGAGAAACTCTGAGCTCCTGCAGCCGACACCAGTTCCTAGGGTGCTTTTTATTGGGTTAGACACGATTGCTCTCTTGAGTTATTTGAAGGGCTGTCACTGAGAGAAGGGCAGGGAGCTGTTCCTGTGGGCAGCAGAGGAGAGGACTCGCAACCATGGGCAGAGTTTGCCCTCTAAGCTGAGTCAGTTAGCCTCCGGCTTGCACATTTTTGCCTTGGCTCGGGAAGGAGGGCTCCAGAGCAAACTAATTTACGCAACAGCCAAATCATAGAATGTGAGACTTGGAAGGTACCTTGCAGGTCATCTAGTCCAACCCCCTGCACTCTGCAGGAGCACAGTCGAAAGATAGCCCTTCAACATACCCTCCGCTTGAAAACGTCCAGCGAAGGAGCATCCACCACCTCCCGAGGCAGTCTGTTCCGCTGCTCAACCACTCTTACAGTTAGGAAGTCTCTCCTGATATTTAGCCGGTAACGACTCCCTTGTAATTTCCACCCGTTAGTCTTGCAATTCAGAGCGAGAGAGAATAGATCTGCCCCATCTTCTACATGACAGCCCTGCAAATATTTGAAGACTGCAATCATGTCTCCTCTAAGCCTTCTCTTTCCCAGGCTAAACAGCCAAATCGTTCACCACTTTAATGCCAGCATCTCACAAAGTAGAATTTTTGCTCACAAGACTTCACAGCTTAGGGGGAGCATTGATCATGGGTGTAAATTAAGGGCGGGAAGGTACCGGCTGGATCTTAGGAAAAACTTTTTTTTCTTTTTAAAAAATATTTAAAGTTTTTTATTGAAATGTAACTACATGTAACAACAATAATATACATCAATCTACATACAAAATCAATTTGCGTACATAAGCAACAGTCGTGTAACATTGAGTGATTGAAAATGTGAACACTGTAGCGGAACAAATTTTAGTTTATGAACTTTCACCTAACAATCTGCTCTTCTGGAAAAGTACATAAATTAAATGATGAAACTTGACATTCAGTTTCTATTTCGGCTCTTCCTTTCTCTTCCCAATAACACTAGATTACAAAACATAAACTATATCTTTTTAGGGATCTGTTGCTTGAGTTTAGACAAATTGCAAAAATTTAGAAAAGCAATTAAATATACTTGAGATTACGTTTGTAGGTACGCTTTTTGGTGTCTGATGCTATCCACACTCTCCCTCCTTTCATATCCACTTAATATAGTCTTTCCAGACAGGTGAGATAACATTTTTCATTTGATAAGGATTCCATAATAGGATACCATTTCGCATTGAAATTAGAAATTAGTGGGGCTTCTAGTGTTTCTGTTGTGCTTATCGGTGATACTTTCCATGATGAACTGGTCCCATAATTTTCTAAACCAAATTTGTATGCTCGGCAGAGAGATAGCTTTCCAATATGAAGCTATGGATACTCTTGCTGCATAAAGCATTGTGTCTAGGGTACTAGGAAAAACTTTTTGACAGTAAGAGTCGTGCGACAGTGGAATCAGCTGCCTCGGGAGGTGGTGAGCTCCCTTTCACTAGCAGTCTTCAAGCAGCGCCTGGACAAACGCTTGTCATGGATACTCTAGCCCAGTGATGGCGAACCGTTTAGAGACCGCGTGCCCAAACTGCGACCCAAAACCCACTTATTGATCGCAAAGTGCCAACACGGCAATTTAACCTGAATACTGAGGTTTTACTTTAGAAAAAACAACTCATACATTAACTTAAGATGATCCAAACAAAGTAAGGAAAGCAATCCCAAATGCTTTCATTTACTTAAAATTATTTGGCAGAGAATTCGACACTTTAATGATGGTCTGGGCCTGGCTGGGGCGATGGCACGCATGCCCACAGAGAGAGCTCTGAGTGCCACCTCTGGCACCCGTGCCA